CACATAATTGACGCCGTTGCACAACGAAATTCCCGGGCGTTTCCGACGCATGCTAGAATTTTGCAGCAGTATCTCGCGGGAAGAAAAGCACGCGGAATATATATTTTCTTGAAAAATGTAATAATGTTTCTCATTTTTGTGGGAGGGGTATAAATACTTAACAACGAAATTAAAAATATTATATCGCTATACTAGCAAAAGCCGCAATAAAGACTCGTTTCGTTGGTTCGCAGTGTATGTATGTTTAAACATATTTTCCTTTTGAAATCTAACGAGTCGCATTTCCCATGCGTAATAAGCATCGGTCGCTTAAACGAGAGTATAATCAACGACTGTGCAACGTGATGTAGGTTACAAAACAGAGAGGGACATCGATTTCAACGCACGAGAGCACCGTGGAATGTGCCCGATCAAACGATAACACCGTGACGTGTAAAATCGCGAATCAGTCAACGGAGGTGTTGTGTGAACGGATTAACTCAAGTTTTGTCTCCGCAAAAGTAACAATAGACGCAACTGAATAATTGATTTTATTCAGAGTGTAAATAACATACAAAAAGTGTGTAAAATATAGCCGAAATCTTTGACTTCGCAACATAGTAGGAGCGAAATATTTTAATAACGTAATTTTTACACGGTATGTGAAACGCCCGTTCTACAGTATAACACTATATTCGCCGATTGTCGAGCGCGACAGGAATCGCGCAGCTTGCTACACGGCGCAATTTGCAACGACACGGTGATTACGCGGACATCGTCCTTCCTTCTTCTTCGATAAGAGCGCGACGTTAATTTACACCGCGCTGATTTATCGCGCTCGTCGCGAATTTTCTCGAACGCCGCGCGTTCAACTCGCGTGTTCTCGTCTCCCATATGAAACGTGCGATTAACACTTCGCGAAACATTCACCGAAGATGAAGAGAAGCTGAATAATGACGTCACACATATGGACGCACGCAGGAACGAAATACAGCGAGTCGGTCAGTTTGGTGAAATTAACAGCGCGACATCGCGCGTTTGCGCGCGCCGAATATATAATATTTCGCGCACGAAAATCGGCTCGACGAGTGCTGTTTCATTATCGAATCACGTTTCAAGTGTTACACGGCCAGAAACAAATTGAGAACAACGTTGCGCGCGTCGAGTGCGTTGCGCCGCGGGTTTCCTGTAGCGCACGCGTATAAGTGTGCAAATACACCAGGCGTTCTAGTATATTCGATAGCCAGGAAAATACTCACATACCTACACAGTACATACAGGGGGGGAGAGAGAGAGAGAGAGCGCCGAGTTTTTCATCGACAAGCCGGGGGAGAGTCCATCTCGCGCGCGGTTCCTCCCTCACTAGAGTCTCGATTGTTTAATCCTAGACTAGCATGCGTCTCCTTTTTTAACGAACCTTCCCTACCAATTCTCTATTTTGTTTTACATTTTGAAAACATATATACAGGATATTTCCCAGTATAAGGACAAAATATCTTTAAAAAATGGCCGTAAAAAAATATTCCTTTCACGATATTCCTCCTCCTTCGAAATCGTTCAAATTATTCTCTCATAAGCATATCACATTAACACTTTGAGGTGTTGTTCTTATGTTGGGACACTCCGTATGTATTTTCTCGTTCCTATGATACGTATAAGTAGTTCTAACATTGACTTCATTCACTTCAGCTTTGGTCAATCTTTTTCCAATTGTGTGTTGTGTTTCGATTGACGTACTGTTGAAATAGATTCCTAAGAAAATAGATCAACTGGCTGAAAAATGGCGGATCAACAGTCCGAGGTGAGCGCGGACTTTGTATGGAAGTCAAGATGGAGGTCAGGCGAAAAGGAAGGAAACGCGTCTTTCTTGCGTTCATTACTGTATGCAGATCGACATCGCCGGATCGATAACCCTTTCCAGCAAACGTAGCCCGGTCACGCATATCTCACAGAGAGATCGAACGTTATCCCAGGAAAAGAAGAAAAAGGAAGAAAGCTCGCGCGCGTGTAACGATTATCATTTGAATGCGCGGCCGCCCCACATCTTGAAATCGGCGATTTGAATATTTCGACAATTAAGCTGGCTGTTTTGCATAGGTGAGCGCCGGGTTATTAACCGCGGTTGTCCGCTTTATATTTCGAAGGGGGACGTCGATACCAATCTGTGAATTCGAACGGGATATCGATCGAGGAGTCTCGAGAGTACGAGACGGACAAATTGACGAAGCGCTCACGGAACTTAGGTCGCAAAAATGTGGCCGGAAAGAAAAGGTGTACAATTTTTTCAGTGTACATTGGAAAAAAATTTCCTAATAAGTGTTATTTTAATGATAAAAAAAAAAACTTCATCTTAAATAGAATGTTGCCTTCAATTAGTGATAGAACGTGTAACTATAATTTTAATGGAATTTCTCTCAGTGTATGCCGCAAGGTAAGGTTGAAATCATATATTCATCATGACGTCACAAAAGGGTTGCACACCACTTTCCTTTCGACAACACGCATAAAAAAAGAAATATATCTCCCGAGAATTACGGAAAAACAAATTCACCTATTGAACACAAACTTACTTAAAAGCGTTGCGGCCCATACTTGCGCGTAAAACTGAAAATACAATTGTACGTGAGACCGAAGTGGTGGTTTGATGAGCAAGTTGACCGATATTATTTGAATGAAGATTAGATTCACATTATAGCAATATCCGCTAATGTTTCCATTAACTTTTCACTCGTCGCGATTCAGCGCTCGCGCGAGGAGGGAGATGAGCGATTGCTCGGTGAGCCTTTTCATCTGCGGTAACAAATTCCCGGCATAGTTCGCGGTTATTCTTCCCCGGGGTGGAAAGAGGAATCGGCGCGCGATTTCCCTTCCTCTTGAGCGGTGCCCAGCGACGAGCCGTCGATGACGGATTACGCGCGCGCGTAACGAGATTCGGCGATAAATTCCTATTGCGCATTTGTGCCGCTCGTCGCGGCGCTGCCGTTCGATTCGCGTAATTAGCGGTGAATTAATATTCGCATGCGAGAGAGCGTACGGCCTGAACGAAAACGCGCTTAACGCCCATAAACATGAGAGGAGGAGGCTAAAATCGTATCGATCGCGCGTCGTATTTACCGAATGAGTTTTACGAATTACATCGCGGCCGTTCCGATACATGGTTTTTCGCGGCCTCGCTCTCCCGCCGTGCACGGTTAAATAATTACATATCTAACGCGATGTATAAATAAATGGGCTATTCTGGCGATAAAGTTCGCGGCAAAACGGACGGGTTCGAGCGCCTTGACGCTGCTTCCCGATCAATGTGTATTATGCCGAGCGACCTGAGTCGAAATTGTGTTAAATCTTGAATTCTACGATACATACACAGAGGAGCAAAGATGGCAAAATAATTTCAACCTCAATCCTGACAATTTACTCTGACTTTTCAGTTATTCTTGCGTCGAAGTAAAATTAAAAATGATAAAGTTAAAATTAACATCGAAAAATGAGTTTGATTAAGAATCTTCTTTATTTAAATGGAAGAATTTAGTGTGTAAATGTGTTAGTCCATCGAATAAAAATTTTTTTATTTATTATATAAATATTTGTGTATATATAGAATTAAAAATGAAAGAAAGAGTTAATATGTGTAATAACGTCAAAGTTTATTAGCTTATCGAAGAGCGTGAAAGTAGCGTTAAAATTTCGACTCAGGGACACGCTTCGCTTTAGTGCTCTCGATGGACTTCCGCCTCGGTAACAACGCCCGGTTCGGAGGCCGACGAAAGGTCATGGAAAGAACGGGGAGAAGCGTAACGGTATGCAAATCGATAACATGACGCGAGTTCGAAGCCAAACTCGGTTTCCGGCTTGTGAGAATGACACGGTCTAAAAATTGTCGTGCGTGAGAAGCCCGCCAAAAGAGAGAGAGAGTTGATTGCGCTCGCGTCATGTTTTCAATTACAGCTCAATATTCGAGCGCGCAATATATATATATGTGTGTGTGTTAATTTTTTCACGAGCCGCGCAACGACGACGAAAGCTGTCGTTTCGCGTCGACAAGCCGCGGGAAGAGCTTTTCACGAATGATTAATTACAGCCGCACGGTATCGCGCGTCGATCTCATTATCCGTTGTATCGCACACGGTGAATCTCCGTGAACCACCACGAGCGGTATCAATGATGGTCACGCAATACTCGTATGCGATGGTATTTAAACGTTGGAAAAGCGGCGAGTAAAAAATGGAAATCGATCGGGAAAGCAGAAGCTCCTACGCGGGTAAGGATGAGAGCTGCCGGAGGAGGCGGCATTGAGATGCAAATACCCAACCAACGTGATTTACGAGGGACGAGCGTGCGAGGCTCATAGGAGCGCTCGCTCCCGTTCGGTGGGAGATAAGATCTGTCCGCCACAATGGAGCACGGATTTTATAGCGGCGAGGTGCACCATCCGATTTTCCGCCGGTCAGCAAGTTCAACGGCGGAAAGAGACCGGCTGACCCTGCGAGTTTCTAACGGCCGAATTGCTCGCGCGAGATAATTCGCCCGCTCGAAGAATCATCATCCTACGTAGAGTCACAGGAATTGCCGTGTTTGGAAAGTCCGATTGTAAGTAAGTAGTCTCATTTGAGAAACGTCTTGTAATTTTTTACGCCGTACGCAACAATTGTTTGGGAATAACGCGACGTATTGTCACGAGCGCAGCCTCGCGACTACCAGCGTATTGACGCGGATTGCAGGCGCGGGTTAAATCGAGCAGACGGCGACCCCTCGCGGGGAGGAAAATTTATAAAGAGGGGTCGTCGGCGGGAGAGACTACTTGTTGCGCCCCCGTGACGCCGGCGCTCCCTTCTCCCTCCGTCTCAACGCCGCCGCTAACGACGCCCCGCGACAAAAATAGACGCGTCGTCGCGGCGCAACAGATATCGGCGCGGTCGAAACTTGGATACCAACGAACGAGAGAGAGTTCTCTCTGAAGAAATTCATCGAACCGATAATTCCGGCGTGGAAATAGACGAATTCTTGATTTATGCAAGTCTTACCTGTATCTGGTGTCCGGGATTGTTGATGTGCAACTGCTGCGCCTGGTTGATCTGCAGGGTCGAAGTGCCGGGTCCCGAGGGAGGCCGAGGCGGCGTGGAGCTGTTGAAGCCTGGACCCTGCGAGCCGGTCTGGCTGGGTCCACCGGTCTGAGATCCTCTGGGTGGCAGAGGATACTGCGGGCTGCCGTGGTTCGGCATCGTGCCCGGACTGTTGTTGTACGGCGAGTACGGTTGCTTGTAGCCGGCGCCGCCGGCGCCGCCGCTGGCTCCCAGCATGCCGGGTTTGCCGCCGGCAGCCGGCTGAGGCCTCTTCATGTCAGCGAGACTCGCGGTGAACTGGGTCTGCGAGCCCACGAACATGTCGCTCGTCTGCTGACTCTGGAAGCTCGGCGTCGCGTTGTTCTTGTGATAGCTGGCGGTTCCAGCGGCCGGCTGGGCTTGCGTCGGACCCGCGCTACCGGGACTGCCGAGGTAGTCCGACGCGCCGCCGAATTGCGAGAACTCGGCGTAAGGAGACCTCGCGGTGGAGCCTCGGGCCGCCGCCGCGGTGTATCCGCCGAGGCCGAGCTGCTGACTCTTGTGCTGATGCTGCTCGGCCATCTGCTTGAGGGTCTGCGCAGCGGGGCTCATCTCGGACTTGAAGTCCAGCCCGGTGTAGGGGAGCCGCGCGGGCGAATACTGCGACGAAGCCAGGGCGCTCGGGCTCGCGTTAGCCGGCACGGCGTTGTTGTGCTGCGGTTGCAGCGCCTCCTTATCGTCCTCCATCTTGATCTGCCCGTTGTTCATCGACAGCCCGTTGTTGCCGTTGTTCGGTAGTGCGTCGACCGTCTTGTCCTCGAAGTCGAAGTCCTTCATAAACTCCGGATGAAAGTCCGAGATCTCGGAGATGAGGTCCTTGAACGTGTCCGAGTTTATGATCTCATCGCCGGTGTCGTCGCCGATGAACTCCGGGAAACCGGTGAAGCCGGAAGTGGTGCCGTTCGCCGCGGCGTCCTTCTCCAGGGCAGCGGCGCACTGCTCCAGGTCCACGAAGTCGTTCTCTAGCCCGGGCTCCTGCTTGCACTCTACGAGGTTGCCGATGTCCACGCAACCGATCCCACCGGCCGCGCTCGGATTCCCCCCCGCCGTCCGATTGCTGGCCGACGAGGGTGTGTCGGGTTTCGGGGACGAGTTCGACGCGTTCAGCAGGTCACTCTTCACGGACGCGTTCGTCAACGCCTTCACGGTCACGTTCGTAGAGATCTGCTGGGCCTGTGAGTTCGCCGTGGAGGCGGTAAACTCAAGCTGCTGCACTATTTCCACGGAAAACTTGGTCAGACCCTCGTTCCCACCGCTTGCCCCGCCGCCGGCTGCGGCTCCCGTTGAATTCGCTCCTTGCTGCTGATGTTGACCGTGGCCGTGATGCGGCCCGCTACCTCCGGAGCCCTGCTGATGTTGGTGCTGCGTGCACTGTAACTTAACCGGTGGCTCGCCGAAGCCGCCGTCGCCACCGCCACCGCTAGCTGGCTCCAAATCCTCGGCCGTCCTCTTCAGAAATTTCTGCTGCTGAAACGAGAAGAGGAAAACATTTACGTAAAAACGATCCTGCTGTCATTTCCGTCGAAACCATTCGTTTGATTGAGAGATCAGCCGGCGGGCTTCCTTTTTCCGCGCCGTTTTCTGCGATTAACCTTTCTCACCGACGCTTCGTCAGCCGTTGTCTTTGTACGAAGGGCGGTTTAGTGACGCGGCTCGTAAATCTTGGAATCAAAGCACACGTCTATCTCGAAATTTTGCCCTTATATATATGTTAAATCTTTCATTCTACCATGATACGCAGTAGGAGCGAAAATAAGTTCAATTCTAATTTATCCCTACACTGAGGTAAAAACTTACTAAATGCATTTAGTTGAAGATATTTTCGGGATATTTGCTTACGAGAGAGAAATTCGGTATTAATTATTTCATCTTCCCTACTGTTGCCGCACGATATTTCGCCAAATTATTTAGTAAAAGCTACAAAATTTCGTTATATGCCACCAAATCTTTCTTTCAATCTGAATTTCTCGTCATTCGTTGAATTCGTCTTAGGTTGCGTTACATTAAAATTCACGCTGAAAACGTCTAAGAAGTAAAGAATATTTTTTTACTTTTTACATTTTTTCTCTCAGTATAGAATTAAAGATTACGCTTTAGAACATCTCTCGGAGTACTTTGCTGTACTACAGGCCTTTCGTACATCCAAGTAAAACTATCTTGAAGAACGTGAAAATAGCAGCAACTCGAAATAACGCCCGCCCACCGCGACTGATAAGTCCCCGATAAATCGTGGATCGATTCGAGGCCGGAAAATTCCAGGCAATTGCCTACTGGGTCCTTAGGAGACGCTACCTCGCATTCCGCGGGAGAGATATCCAAGTCGGCGACCCTGTTTTCGATCGGGCAAACAAATTCACAGCGGCGAGGGTGGCGGGCGTGAGAGATTGGAAAAAGTTTTACCGGGGTGCGGTCGCTTCGACGCGGCGGTGTGCGTGTATACATTTGTCACGATTTGAACCGGGATAACCTCCCGTTTCATCCCAAAATCGATAATACGTATTACCCTCTAATAGAGAATCGGCCGTTCCCCTCCCTCTTGCAGCGCCCGAATAATCTTCCGCAGATGTAATACGATATTCCGTCAACCTTCTCTACCCGCGGCATTTTCCCGCCAATCGCAGGACCGGCATGCGCTCGTCGTAAAGGTGGATGACGTTTCTTCGATGCCGTCCTCCTCGTTTCGGGGAATGAAGCGCATTATAGCGAGCATAAAGGGAAATGAACTCTCCTCTCACACAGCCGATGATGATGAAAGACATCGAGGAAAACCGTATCGGCTTTATACAACGACGTAGTCGTATAGTGGTAAAGCGCAATTTTCTCGGTGTAAGATCTTACGACGATTTATAAATCGTTGGTCAATAATCATAATAAGCATAAGTCTTAAGATATTCGTAAAGGTGAAGCGGGGATGAAACATTTTTATATTCATTACAATGTGATTATCTTCAATCAACATTGGAAAACCGTGCTTTTAATCGTAGAGTTATTTTTGGCTCGAAAATGACTGACTTCCTATTCTTCTACCGTAAAATACTAATCGATAAAGAAACGCCCTCATAGGGGCAACCTCGGCTTTTGAATGCAATTTGTTTGCTGCGACATTTTTACGCGAAAATACCGATCACAATGTTACGTACTCTTCGGCAGGCAAGAAAAGGGAGGAGCGTACTACAACGTCACCGGACGAAAGGCGCAAACGTCTCGGTGAGAAATCGACGTGAAAAAAGTGCGCGATAATAAATCCGTCCGCAATTTCCCGCCGAAATTCACCGTAAATAATAACAGCGTTGTCTCGAATGACGGCGTTTCCCTTCCAATCTTCTCGCCGCTCGTCCGATCGATCGGCCGGCCGAATGCTCAGCGATCAGAAATTAATACGCAATCACGGGAGTTAAGGGGGAGGAAGCGAGCGGATCGTCGAGGGAGAAAACTAACAGCCCCGGGCCGCGTACGCCCGCTGTCACGGTGTTTGCGCGCGCGAGGGAGATTTCATTCGCCCTATCCTTTATCGCCTGCCCCGCGAAATCGGTTAACGACCGTCAGACTGCGCGAGTTCTCGCCGCGGCTCCCGACGTTACTTCGCCCGGAAATAATCCATCGAACCCTTTCGTCGCGAAGCGGTCCTCGACCAACCGATTAGAATCGTTAATTCTTGGTGACCGAAACTTTTGACAATTCGGAAGAAAATTATTGTCTTTACGCTGAAAAAAGTCTTACCATTCAAGTAAAACTCCAATACTCCTTGACAAATACTTATTACAAGTCGATAAATCGACTGTATGTAACATGATATTCGTAGACATTGTATATGTTAAAACAATCGCGGCAAGTATTAAATTCATAATATCGTGAAAATTTATGTTTTTCGAAAGTATCTATCGGATGAAAAAAAATCTAAATTTAAGCGGAAAAGAAGAAATAATTTCTTTTAAATTTAGAACGGTTTTACATTAAATAATTCCACTTTTACAAATTAAGGTATTACTGCGTTCGAATACATATTAAAATATGCTTAAATTGATAAAAATATTACTTGATTGGAAAAACAGCTGATTTCTTAGCACTTTTTTCCCGTTAAAAATTTTAGATCTTATTATATTGACACGTATGTTGCAAGAATCGTAAAAATTCATACATATTACCGCGTATTATTTACGGTTTTGAAAGCCTGTGTTCGGACATTGCACACAAATTGGTGTGACGTAAACATAATCAAGATATTGCTTTAGGATGTTTTTTTTTTTGATAGAAGTGAAAACAGCAGAAAGACGGTATATGCCTTGCGGCGGCGCAATTGTAATGTTCGAAATACACTGTCTTGAAATTGTTAATATCTCAGCCGGGCAGGACTGCTTTCTCGGAATGTCTTCGGGAAAAATTGTCGAGCGAATCTACCATTGAATAAGTCATACAAGTCGATTAGCTGTCATGACGATTTCGAAGGTGCTCCTTCCTTACGTGTGGGAAAATTAACTCTCGCTCATACGCCGTCAACTTCTAACGAAAAGTTCATTCTCTCTCTGGCGCGCGGAAAACGCTTTCTTCGGCCTTATTACGATTCGCGCGAAGGCCGGCTTAATTCGTGAAACCGACGTCTATAAGCGGAAGACGCTCTCTTAGCGTCGGCCACTTGTACGTAATCGTTAAAACGGTGGCATGTTGCGCGAATGACTCAGGCGTCTGGTATCGCCGTGTAGAATTCGTGTCAGCGTATTATATTATCCCATTCCTTTGTCATTTTCCTTCCCTCGGTCTCGAAGGCATTTCCCTTCATTGTGTTCGCTCTTCTGACATGACTAACGAAGAACTACTTCGCAGCTGTGGCATTCGGTTTTGTTGTTACCATATCGATCGAATTAAACATTACGAGGCGATGAATAAACAGCGAGCTGCCTCATTCGTGATTATCTATTCGAAACTCATTTGACCGTGAACTTTCCGATCGCAACTGAGCGCGCAGCAGTCAGAGAGGCTTGATTACTTCCCATTTCAATTTCCCGTTTTTGCGATACACCATAGCGGGGCAAATCTCTCGGGTGGCGAATCGAGATAAGGAGCGTGTCACTGACTTGTGTGCGACAACACGCTGGTGGATCTATTGAGCGTTACTATGTTTCGTTAACAACACCGGTTAACACGACCTAAATATCGCCCCGTTCGGTCAAAAAATAGATGATAAGTTTTCTCTCATCTGATTATGTATGTAAATTAGGAAAGGTCACGTACCGATATCCGTTTTTAATGCTGGATTTCGCGTTATTTCTGTAGAGGAGAAAAAAACATTTTGTCTCGAACAGTAACTATTGTGTGTATAAAACTACTGAGAACACCAGAAAGACGAGTTGTGTTTGTGACCGGGAAGCTTTCTAAATTTATACCTGGTAAAAACCGTACTACCTTGTTCCGACGTTATATCCTAGCCGAGCAAAACTGCTATAATATTTCGACTATTTTCCCGATTCATGAATGCTCGTCGAGAAAAATTCTCTGCGTATACAGATTGAATTTTAACGCCACCTTGAAGCTATAAATGATGATATTACCGAATCCACGTGAATATTCAGCAGAAGCTATTTTGACGGCGAAAACGGACATGAACGCGGTCAAAATCATATCGTTAGAATAGAAAGTATTTTGCGAGAATTTCGAAAAACTCGGGTGCTCACCAGAATCTGCTCGCGATGTGACAGCGGGTTCAGGAAATTAAATGAAAATTATAACGAGAGAAGGAGACCGATACAGCTCAGTATCAAGTGGAAATGCTGTTCTCTTCGTACGAGCTCTCCAAAGGTTTCCGATTAGCTCCGACATGCCATCTCGTACCGCCAGACGGAATCGGCGCGCGAGAATCGTAATCTGATAGGCACTTACCGCTTCTTCTGTGCACGCCGTTTTCGCCGATTAGCTATCCCCCCCCCAGGAATTCATAGAAATCTTTCACCTCTCGTTCGCATAAAAAAAGTCTCGCGAATTGCTGGTGGCGCGATTGGATTTCGCGAATTTTCGCATGTTTATGACAAATTTTGGCTCTCGCCCGTTCGTTTGGCGGCCGTCGTTAATCAGCGGCGCTTTTCTACCGACAACGCGATTTAATTTCAACGGTAAAAATGACTATAACGGCGCCTGTATTTCCGATTTTTCCGCCGCGATTACAAATGCAATTACGATATTCATCCGTGCAAATGTAAATGCGACTGCCGGTACTACCGATTCGAACGCTTTCAAAAGAAAAATGGATTCCCCGTTGCGCGCATTACCTCTTGAATAATCGTTATTGCTGTAACTGGCGTTGCACGCGCGAACGGCACAAACTGTCACGCCTGTTTTAAAGAATCAGGCGCGCCACTATCTACGCGGTGCTCGATAATCAGGTGTAATAACGTCGGAAATATTCCGCTCGACTGATGGAAATATATTATGAGAGTTATAAATAAGCTGAGAGGGACGCGTTCCAGAGATTTATC